TCAGCCTCGCACGATACTATTTGAGAGATGCGATGAAGAGACGAGAGAGGATGGAGACGCAGTACGAGAGAGCGCACACGAGAACTGCAGTGCAAGCGCGATCGAATCCATCAAGGAGACGTAGAAGAAGAGGATGGGAGAGTGAGAGAGAGATGGGGAGGAGAGAACTCTCGAGAGACGAGAGATGGCTATGTATAGCCCCAAAGACCAGCAGAGGAGACGAGAGACCACGGATGGGCAGACTAGAGATCGATGAGAGACGAGATTGAGGAGCAACGATACTAACAACTACGACTTGATTATCCCGCAGAGCACGAGAGCATATGCTAGCCACGGATCAGAGTACAGGCATTCTCTAGTAGCTAGTCGACGAAGAGAAGTCGAAGAAGACTCGGCACCAGACATCGCGCAATGAGCACGAGATGAGAGATGGCGAGACTTGAACCTGAACGCAGAGAGATGCATGGGTCGACGAGACACGAATCGAGAAGGCGAGCTCACGGCACTATGGACCAGAGACACGACAGCACTGATAGAGAGACGGGAGAGGATCGGAGCTAAGAGAGCGCTAGACGATCCGATCCTGAGAATAGAGAGAGAGAGACGATTATGGAGCAAGAGAGAGAGAGAGAAGGCACGACTGATGGGACGACAGACGGAGAGAGAGCAGAGAGAGAGAGAGAAGAAGAGAAGGAAGGGAGGGAAAAAGAAGGAAGAGAAGAGAGACAGAAGAGAGCAGAGAGAGAGGACGGAAAAACCGACTAGAGAGAACAGCCGATACCTAGGCAAGAGTATTGCGAGAGAGACTGAGAGAGATGGAGAGAGAGAGAGAGAGATGGATCGAAGAGCAGAGGAGAGAGATGCGAGGAGAGAGAGAGAGACGAGAGAGAGAGAGATGGGAGAGAGATGGAAGAGAGAGAGAGAGATGAGGATGAGAGAGACGGAGAGAGCAATCTGGAGATGAAGGAAGAGAGAGAGAGAGGATGTGAGAGAGAGAGAGAGCTGCTTAGAGAGAAGCAGAGAGGAGAGATGGAACGAGAGAGAGAGAGATTGATGATGGAGAGAGAGACGAGAGATGGATGACGAGAGGAGAGTGAGAGTGGAGAGAGTATGAGAGACCGCGCAGACGAGAGAAGAATGGAGAAGCAGAACAAGTCCCATCAGAGAGAGACGAGACGATCGCGAGAGAGGATGAGAGAAGAGTATAGCAGACATGAGACAGAGAGGCGCAGAAGCATCGCGAGAGACGAGAGTCGATGCAAGAGAGAGATGAGTCACCGAGAGCCCAGCAGTACCTATTCATTCCGACAAACACCACAAGAGTCGACTAGGGAGAGCGGTAGGAGAGAGAAGAGATTGGAAGAGAGATGGAGAATACCCGAGCGAGCGAGAAGAGACGAGAAAGAACCTCGGGACAGATAGCAATCCATAACGACCACTAGGTTGACAATCCGGCAGGTAATAGAACACCATGTCATGCTGACACTCGAGCTGTCTGTTTGCGGAACGAAGAGCATCGACGCAGCACCATAGCTGAACCTGTCTCTCCATTTCCCTCTCCGAGGACGAAATCGAGGGTAGCGAGCGGAGAGAGGGAGTGGAGAGAGAGGAGAGATCGGAGAGAGCAGCAGAGGGATGGGAGTTAGGATGGAGCGAGGAGGAGAAGGAAGAGAGAAGAGCGAGAGGGAGGAAGAGGAAGGAAGGACTGCGATACGGAGAAGTAATGGAGGAGAGAGGAGAAGAGATGGGACAAGGAGAGAGAGAGAGATGGAGAGAGAGAGAGTCTAGAGAGATGAGACGAGATGGCAGACGAGCACGATGAGAGATGGGGAGAGAGAGAGAGAGAGGAGAGGTGAGCCTAACCAGAGAGAGAGATGGAGAGAGAGAGAGAGAGGAGAGGGAGAGAGAGAGAGAGAGAGAGTGAGGATTGCGATGAGAGAGAGAGAGAGGAGATGAGAGGGACATGAGAGCAGAGAGAGCAGAGAGATGAGCTGAGCAGAGAGAGAGAGAGAGAGGACCGATCAGATTCTTCCACTCGGCGAGCAGGAGCAGAGATAAGGATCCGTTATTATTGAATGAGTTGTCAGGTTGGAGTAGGCTGGAGGGGCGGGGGGAGGGAGGAAGGAGGAGGAGCGGAGGGAGGTGGAGAGAAAAGTGGGGGGGGAGGGGGGGGATGAGGAGGTGGATGTGGGAGGGAGGAGGAGGGAGCGGAGGAGGCAGGAGGGCCGGTGAATGGGGAAAGGGGAGGGTTGTGGGAGTGGAGCGGGCGGCGGAGTTAGGAGCGCGGAAGTAGAAGCAGAGGTTGTTTGCGTGGACGCTAGAGAAGGAGGAAACATAAGGAAAAAAGAGGAAGGAAGCAAAGGCTCCTTCCCTCCCCCTCGCCCCCTACCTCCCCCTCCCCTCCTCCCTCCTCCTCCTCCCCCTCCTCCCCCCTCCGTCCTCCCTCCCCTCCCCTCCCTCTTCTCCCTCCCCCCCTCCCTCTAAAACATTTGAGAAATCATTTCTCCCTCTCTCTCTATCTCCCTTTCTCCGCGAGCCTTTCCATTTTGGAAATCGATTCGGATTTTGAAAAAAAAGCGTCGTGGTTGTGCAGCTCCGAGTGGTCGTCGATTCGCCAGTCTTCCGAGTGGCCAGGACCGAGCGCAGGTGAATAGGGACTGGCGATTGGGGGATCAGTTTAGCCCGCGTGCGCTTGTGCTTGCGCGGCCGAACGAATGCGCAAGGACGTGTGGCTGTACATACGTGACGTGCAGACATGAACACGCGCGAAGGCACACAGGCAACAGGAACAACGGAGGGAAGGGCAAGAAAACAATTGCAACAGGAACAACGAAGGGAAGGGCAAGAAAACACACGAATATGCCGAAGGCCTTTTCGCTATTGCTTCGTCAGGGCATATACTACAAGAGGTACATAGAGGAGTATATATATAGCGAAAAGGCCTTCGGCATATTCGTGTGTTTTCTTGCCCTTCCCTTCGTTGTTCCTGTTGCAATCTGTTCACCATAAATTCCGCACACAGGCAAACAAATGCACATACGTGCGCGCGCGCACACGCACACGCACACGCACACGCACACACACACACACACACACACACACACACACACACACACAACACACACACACCACACACACACACACACACACACACACACACACACACCACACACACACACACACACACACACACACACACACACACACACACACACACACACACACACCACACACACACACACACCCACACACACACACACACACACACACACACACACACCCTTCCCTCACACACACACCCTTACCCCCCCACACAAACCCCCCATTTCCCCCCCACACCCCTCCCCTTCCCCCCACACAAACACCCTCCCCCCTATACAACAAACCCTTCCCCCCCTCCCCCCACACCCTCCCTTCCCCCACACACAAACCCCCCCCACCCCCCCACCCCCCTTCCCCCAACCCCCCTCCCCCTCCCCCTATACACCAACCCACGATCGTCATTGCAATCTCGGCCGCTCGTTTCCTGCAATATACATCCCGCGTGATTGTTGCGGTTCATCGGCGGGCGATCTTTTTTTGCAATCCGGGAATCGCTCTTTTTGCAATGGCGACTTTTGAATCGAAGTCGCATCTGCGGAATAAAACCCCGTCGGCGGCCGGTCGGACCCTTCGAGGAATCGCTTTGTTGTTGTTGTTTGGTGTTTTTTTTTTTGTTTTTTTTTTTTTTTTTTTTTTTTTTTTTCCTTGTTGGTCTTTTCCTTTGTTTCTTCTTCTTTTCCTTCTCCTTTTTTTTTCTCTTCTTTTTTCTCTTCTTCTTCATCTTCTTTTTCTTTTCTTCTTCTTCTCCTCCTCCTTCTTCTTCTTCTTCTTCTTCTTCTTTCTCCTCTCCTTCTCCTTCTTCTCCTTCTCCCTTTCTCCTCCTTCCTCCTCCTCCTTTTTTCTCTCCCTTTTATTCTTCTTCCTCCTCTTCCCCATCTTCGCCACACATCCACGCGTAAAATTATATAAAAGAACAAGTATCCATGTATCTACGTGTGAGTTTGTGTGCGCGAGTATGTGTCCATTTATCCACATGTGTTTGTTTGAATTTGTGTGTGTGTGTGTGTGTGTGTGTGTGGTGTGTGTTGTGTATGTGTGTGTGTCCGTGTCCGTGTCCGTGTAAGTTTATATGAATGTACTTGTATCCATTTATCCACGTGTAAGTAAATGTTTTATGTCTTTTATATGTGAATGTGTCCCAGTATCCCCATGTGCGTTTTGTATACATTATGTTTATGTATGTATTTATGTTTAGTATCAAGTTTTCTTCGTGGGTATTTTGTGCGTCCCCAAAGTGTTCCCCCATGTTTGCGTTTACGTGTAAGGTTGCCATTTACGTTTACGTGTGCGTCCAGGCGAGGTCCCCGTGTGGCGTTATGTTGCGTCCCCCAAGTGTTTCTTCCGTCGTGCGTTTATTGCGCCAAGTGTCCCCGTGTTGCCCGTACGTGCGCCCAAACGTGTCCCCCACGTGCTTGCGTTCGATGTGCGTCCAGGTTTCCCCGATGTTTGCGTTTATGTGCGCCCCAAGCTGTTCCCCGTGTGCGTTTACGTGCGCCAAAGTGTTCCCCCGGTTGGCGTTTATGTGCGTCCAAGTGCTCCCCGTGTTGCGTGTGAGTGCGTCCAAGGTGTCCCCGTGTGCGCTTTATGTGCGTCCAAGTGCTCCGCGGTGCGTGTGAGCCCTTGCGTACCAAAGTGTCCCCGTGTGCGTTTATGTGCGCCCAAGTGTCCCGTGCCGTTTCATGTGCGCCCAAGTGTCCCCGTGTGCGTTTATGTGCGCCCAAGTGTCCCCGTGTGCGTTCTCATGTGCGTCCAAGTGTCCNCTCTCTCTCTCTCTCTCTCTCTCTCTCTCTCCACACTATTCCTTCACTATCCTCTTCTCTTTCATCAGTACAAATTTATGTAACAGAGAGCATTTTTATATATATCCTGGTTAAAAAGAAAATCAGTAACACATCTTGGAAATATAATATAAATTACCAAATAGTAAAAAAAAAAATACTTACCACTCTAGCTTGAACACCATTTGTAGTCATTGTATTGGAATCACTTAGGGTTTCTGGGAAGCAACATGCTTTTTTTATGAATGCCTTCAGTTGTGGATCCAAGTGTTTATTCAGTGCATTGTAGTCACAGTCATCATGGTGAATACCTAAGAGCCACTGGAATGATATAAGTTAATATTAGTTGATACTAGCTTTTAAAATCCCAAGAATAATCTTTAACATATATCAACATGCACTGTGTATATCATGTTACTTACAAGACATATGGAATGCATCCAAGAATATTAATTATTAAATATTAAATCACAATAATTCTGGGTGGAGCTGGAAACTAGTGATATTCTGTATTCAATGCAGTCACACAACAAAAGTGCAGAAAGAAGATGCCCTTGGGAATTGAAGTGTATGATGCAAAATGAAGGAATGGGTGTATTGTATTGATATAATGCATTGGTTCTGACTTATACGACTTCTTTTGGGTCAATATAAAGACCTGGCAAGAATGGGTATACCATTGTTAGCTTGAGAGGGGTAGGGATTACTCATTCTAGCTGGAAGTATCTATGACAATACTTTGTTTAATAACCTTTAAAATAGCTAGTACTATTGGGCTATTGAGCCAGCCAATGGTAAGGTTATGGAAGGTGTATCATTTCCAAGACCATTTTGGCTAAATCATAAAGAATAGTAGTTTCTATTCACAAAGAGTACATAGCTACATCATAACTATTTTTAAATCAAAATAGTTTATTATGTAAGGGGTCCTTTCCTAAGAGTCATTCATCTAGCACGCTCATAAAGTTTTGGTAAGAGGGCCTAACACAGAAAAAAAAAACTTTACAGGCAAAATTTTGCCTAGATTGCTTATTACACATTTAGAGAAATACATCATCACATACCTGAACATAATTCCATAATGCTTTTGCAGGGAGAGGAGAAGTCTGATCATACATTAGCGAACTGGGTATTGGATTATTTTGTTGATCGAGAATAGCTGTACTTGGAGAACAGCTTGCATTTGACTTAGATAACTGTGTCTGTGTTGGAACGTGGGCTACAGTAAGAGCAGAAGTAAATCGTTCATCAAGGAAGGCTCCAACCTCTCCTGCCAGTCGTGAACACATTGCATATCCATGATCTTGCCAATTATATTCCTGAAATAGAGTTGATATTTTAAAGGAATTAATAAAAATGGGTATTTTTCTTACAAACATTTTTTGGGGGTAAGGAATACCTAAAATTTGTTACTGAACTTTAGATACAATAACAACATGTTCAAACTTCACATACCTGAATTGATAAAGAAGGTATACGTGACTCATCATTGCAGTTAAAATCTTCATATGTAAAACCTGGGTTCAGTGTTAGGTGAGCATAGACCCTTTGCTTGTGTCTAGTTTCGTTTACTGTACCTGACTTCCTTATGTCAGACCTAAAATAAATAAAATATCATAGTCCAATTTAAACAAATACAGCCAAATTTGTGAAGAAAAAAAAATTACGTCATCTATGAATAAATAGAACAAACAATCACATTGCTTAATTTGTACAGCTAAGCTTTCTTACCTGGAATTAAGTTTACAAGATGAATTAGTGGTTGAACTTTCTGGAGCTTCTGGACATGGCTGTCTTGACTGGAGACAAGGTGAAGATACTTTACTGCTGCAAGTGTTTCTGTCAACTGTTATCACTGTAAGTATATTGCTTCAATTAATACCATAGAAAGATGCTTTCAATAAATTAAAATCAAATAAAAAGAAACTTCTCTATTCTACTTTCCTTAATACTTTACAAGGCCTATTCTAACTATTCGTAATTTTGCATAATGCTAAAGAATTACAAGAAAGAACAAATGCATGGAAATAGAGGTTATTTCTTACAAGATGTTTATAAAGAAATATAGCTACATGAAGGGTATCAATACACATCACTCGTATCAAGACTATAATTATCTATCACTTAATGTGTGACCAAAGCAACCTTGATTAAATAATTAACTTACCATCCTTTTCTTTTTTAGGAATTGTATAAGTAGACAGTCCACAGCCATGCAAGAAGGTTGCAAGGGCATGGAAATGTGTCATAATGCAAAGTGCCTGACACAGTTCCCCAAGTGACCAGCTGTCTTCACCCTTTGTTAATTGCTGCGAGAGAAATAACCTTATAACTAGAATGTAATTCCTAGGCACAGGAACTAATAACTCTTACTTATAATTATTCATAAATCCACCAGCTAAAGTTCCAAAATGAAAGTAATCATTTATCAGCCCTCCACATTTCTTCCATTTCATATTATCACTGATACATTTCTTTTCAAAATTTCACTGAAACATTTCTTTCCAAAAGTGCAGAAAAACTCTAAAGATAAGCTAACCCACCTGTATATGCTGTGGTGAGAGCAGCCAGGGCTGGTGTGCTAAGATGTTGTTAATGGAGGCCAGAGCTGAGAATTTGG